TTACCTCCTAAGGCAATTTTACAATTTCAGATTCGATCCCTCTTCTGGCCTAGAAGAAAATTTAGATAAATTCACTAAATTGATTCAGGACTTAGATAACTGTGATGGGGAGATTTCAAGTGACCAACAAGTAGTTGCCTTATTAAACTATTTAAGTGAGAAATATAAAGATATTAGAAATGCTTTAGAATATGGGGGCAGACTCTTACAGTAGATATCATAACTGCAGCCCTTAGAAATAAGGAACTTGAAATGAAAATCAAGTCAAAAGACTCTAAGTTTGGTGAAGGGCTATATATGAAAGAAAAATTGAATCGGAATAAGAAACAAATCCAGTAAAACTTTAATTCAACCAAGAAAGGAAAATTTCAGAACAATAAAAATAGAGATAAGAACAAAAACCAAGTGAAACTAAAGAACCAAATCATGAAATGCTATTACTGTGGCAAAATTGGACACTTAATAAAGAATTGCTTTAAGAAAATCTCAGATATGAAAGATAAAAACAACACTGATGGATCTGCAGCAGTGGCCTGCAATAATGAAAGAACGCCCAAAGGAGGGATTCAAAAGAATGGGTCCTAGACTTTGGTTGTACCTTCCATATGTGTCCCACTAAAGAGTGGTTTTCTGAGTTTGTCAATCTCAATGGAGGACAAATTCAGATGGGCAATGACATGAATTGTCAAATTAAGGGTATTTTGAAGATAAAATTGATGTTAACTGACAATTATACCTTTAAATTAGAAAATGCTAGATATGTTCCTGAACTGAAAAGGAATCTAATCTTCCTGGGAGAATTGGATAAAAAATACATCATCACTATACACAAGGGTCTTCTGAGATTATCTTCAGGGGACATATGTGTTATTTCCTCTTAAAAAATAAATGGCATCTATACAATTTCTGCTGAACCAGTAATAAGCTATTGTACCACAACCTCAAATCATGTTTTTGATAAGTCATTAACTTGGCATAAAAGATTAGGGCACATTTCAAAGAAAGGTCTAATCATTTTAAACAAACTTGGATGTTTTGGAAGTGATAATATTGAAAAATTGGACTTTTGTGAAAATTGTACTGTTGGAAAATAGAAAAGACTGCCTTTTAAAACTGGAATCCATAAATCCACTTAAATATTGGATTACTTACATGCTGATCTGTGGGGTCCAGCATCAGTAAATACACTTAGTGGATTTA